TATTTTCATGGTGATCACCTCAATATTATCTGGAAGGATATGTAGCGGTCTAATGAATTCTATTTTTTATAAGACTGTTGTAATTTATTTTAATTTAAAGCATAATGAATTAACATACGTTAAATTCTACAAGCACAAATATTTTATTTTTAAAACAGTTGTTTTGCGATAACACTAAATACAATTTTTAATGTAAAGATTTAACAATAAAATTCTATGGCTGGAAAGTCTCCCTCTCTGTACAGTGATCAGTAAAGTGCCTCAACATTAACTTTTCACTTTTACCTATATTAATATTATCTACTGTCAATCCTGATTCTTTTTCTATATAATATAAAAGTAGATGTAATAAATTATTTTGACTTTTCCAATAAGAAAACGGTTGAAGTTCATTATAATATGGAAGTTTCTCAAAATGTTTTTCTATAATATCAATGGAATAAAATACAATATGTATTCCATTCCATATCTGTTCTTTTGTAATGTCATTCGACATTAAATATTTAGTCACTTTTTTAACATTCTGCAAAGAAGTCCATATTACATTTGGATATTTACAGAGTTTTTGTTTAATTTCATCTTCATTTTTATCCAGCAGAACTGATAAATATTGGCAGGTTTCCACACTACAGTTATATTTGATATCTAGTTCCAACTTTTCAGGTGACTGGAACAACATACCCAAAGATATAGATGGAAAACCACGTTGTTGCAATTGCCTTAAACGACTTAACAATAAATCATGAGAGTGAACAACAGTTAATATTTTTGGAGCAAATTTCCTCATGTTAAGATCAACTTCTTTATCAATTGTTTTTAATCTCTCTTTGATTGTATTAATGTTCAGAGAATAAATTGATAAACCATTTTGTAACTGTCTGTTGGTAAAGTTGTTTTCCTTCAGATATTTATCTGTTTCTAATAATTTTTCTGGAGTCAAGCATAAAATTCTTGGTGCCTTTCTTGCACATTTCATTATATTCCAACCAGCAAGAGATTGAACATTTTCTAGGATACTTTTCAAATTTTCAGGATTTAATGTTATTAGAAAACCATTGGAAATGATCTGAAAATAAAAATTATTTATTTAAAAAATACTTTCAGCAATTAGCTTTAAAATTAAATTGGATTAAAAGAAAAATAAATAAAATGAGAATTTGTTTCATAGACTGCATTTCCATATACATATAACATCATGAAATGTTAGAATAGCCATGAAAATAAAATAAGAAAGCAAAACAAATGGGCATATTTCTGCTTATGTATACATTGTTATGTATATTTCTTGTAGTATATGTCATACTTAATGTAATAATAGGCTGTATGGTTTCTGGTTAGGTTAGGTTAGATTAGAGTTGTAGCTTTAGTTATCTGGTTAAATTATGGTAGGTTAATTTAGTTAGTGAGTAAGTTAATGTTTAAAAAAAACAAAATAAAAGAATTTGGGGTCTTGCTCATTTGTTTTCTGTTGGTCTGTTTGTCTTGTCTAATTTGTCATTGTGCTCATTTGTTTTCACACTGCCTGTCTAGCTGTTAATAGTATATTAAGATTCATACTTGCATTCTGTTTATTAGTATTAAGCAGATGTAAGAAGTTTTCCTATTAACATCCACCTGGCACTAACTTCTACATTTAGCTATTCGAGGCAGCACTCAATTATTGATGTCTGTTACACTCAGGTTTTCTTTTAGACCCGTCGGGGGACTATGGCCTTGTAGCCTAAAAACTGCATGCCAACATCAAATGTAAAGGTTACAGTAGCCATATGTATGCCATTCAGAGGATCATACCTTTCTCTACTGTCTATCTCCTTTTCCTCCTTTCTCTTACCATTTTCTGCCAACTAAACACTAAAACAATAAACTAATCTTGCAAACATAAATTAATCAAAACTAATTTCTAAGATGAAATAAAAATCAATTATATTTATATTTTAGTCTATAAGAATTGTTTCTAGTCCTCCTGGTTCAAAATATTCAATGTCAGCTGTGTTCAACATGTAATGTACAGTATATATTCAACATTGTTGCCAAAGAATTTGTTTTAAATGATCATTAAACAGTGTGCCAAAAGGATGGAAATAGTGTCAGCATGTGAAGGAGGAGTAGGTAAACTGAGTAAAGAAATATAAAACCAACTTGAGTGCACTCTCGATAAATTTGGTCTTTAGAAACATTATAATTTAGATCATACTATTAATGATAAAAAATTTAAAAATTTATTTTATCTCAAAAATTACAGGTAATATGGCTTGGATAATATCTGCTGCCCTATAACAAAACATTGAAAAGACCTAATAAAAATAACACCAACAAATAAAATTAATTAAATAACTACAAAAGGAATATAAAAAAACAATTAATTAAAATATAGTAATTTTTTACAATGTATTTTAAACTTCTTAAATTCTAGATATACAGTTTATCCTCTACTCTTAATAGAGTTTACCGATATCAATAAAAAGTGATTTAATAGTAACATTAAAGCATAAAAGGGGGAAAATAAACTAGTAGTATTTCTAGTGTTGACTGAAGGAGTATGAATGTAGCAATATAGAGGAGGAAGTAAACCATTAAAATATTTATAAGTGTAATTTATAATTCTAAGTAGAGAGCAAATGTATTATATATGAAAGAAAATTTAAAGAATGTGTATATTTTACAAGCATCCATTCACTAAACAAAATGTAAGTATGAAATCCTCCTTTTTATGTGAATTGTTCATACATGTGCACAGCTAAGTAGAAACAACTCAAGGAGGGAAAAAATTTTGTTTATTCAACTGTCGTTTTACTACTGTTGTATAAAATTAATTATATTTTATGTATTTATGTTTTATTGATGATATAAATAGAGTTACTTAGAAGGTAAGAAGTTTAATATTATCAGGTAATTTATAATATCTATGTAAATATAAATTATATATATAAAAAATTAAATATGTAAATGTATGGTCTTGGTTAACGATTCTATTAAGAGCAAGATTATCAAGTTATGCTGAAAAATTCACTCATAGTTACTGTTTAAATGTCTGGTAAATATATTTTAAAATATTGTAACTGAAAAATAATTTTTTAATATTAATACTTTAGTAATCTATGCTTGCTGTTTGGACTGATAAGGGCTATGAGTCCGAAATTCATTTCCTGTATTAATAAAGTGTATATTTTTTAACTTGATCTGTGACTCTGTTTTATCACTTAATCTACAAGGTATAATAAGTCTATACAATTAGCCAGCACTGGACTACATCAAGAAGCAAAAATATTTATAATTAACTGAAATGCTTTTTACAAAAGCATTTCAGTTAATTATAAATATTCATAATAACATGTTTGCTTCTTGTAATGTTCATGTTTGCTTCAATNTAAAAATTTCAGAAAGTTCTTCTGGATTATTTACTGCATTTAAAAACGTACCTTTACTAGACCTCATATCTACATATATGTAAATTGGTCGACCTAATGCTATTGCGCAACTATAAATAGATATAGAATTGGCCCAAATATCTGTATGCGAAATCGATGGATATTTCTCTTTTGCCACATTAAAAAGTCTATTGCTAACACTTATTCCACAGGCCATGTGTTCCAAAGTTACCTGCATTTGGTCCTTTTCAATCAATAAATGCATGTTGCTTTTATATTTTATGAAATAATAAAGTGTGCATAATCTGATTAATTCAACAAAAGTACTGTCTCCGAACAGAAGAACTGACACGGATGAATAAAAACAATCACTGTCACCTAAGACGGAAACAGGATGAAATTCAGTTAAAAATAACGGGTGTAATATATCATAACTAGGATAATCTATTTTATATTTCACCTTATCAAAAGCACTAATCTTGGCATTTCGAAGTAATTTTATCATACAGGTAATTTTAACATAATATTTTTCGAGAATTGCTGATACAGTTGCTAAAGTACTCGTACATAGTAATTCTTCTAAAATATTTTAATTGATCGTTTTCTGTAGAACTTTCTTGTTTTCCTATATTGTTTCCAATACTTTGTAGATTTTTATTATGAACTATAGTACTTTCTATATTTTTATTAAGATATACCGTATTTTTTAGTTTTTTATTAGCAACTACATTATTTTTACATTTTATTTTACACTCCTCAAAATTGTATACATTTAATTTTTGAATCTTACAGGCAGGTTCATATTCTAATGACTGCAATTGCCTTTACCATTCCTGGATATATTTGTTTAATATGATTTAGGAATATTTTAAACATGAATCCAAAATCATTTATAGAGCAGCCAGCATCTAGAGTAAAAGCGTCCGTCGCTGTATAAGTGGTATAAAATGGGCGTAGGAAGGCTTTAATGACAAGTGTGTAGTATATGTATACTGTATAAACCCCTAGATGTGAAACGGCGAGGAAAGAATGCTTATAAAACGCAATTATAGATGGATACCTTTTGCATAACAGCCGATATCTTGGAATAAAGAACTAAAGACGTTTAATGTTGTTACAAAGTAACATGAGGAAACCTAAATTTGTTATTAAATTTTTACTTTTGTTTTAAATAATATATAATAATTATATTATCGTGTCAACTATTTCTGTTACTGCACACGTGTGTGTAGGGAATTGTGGAAGTGACGTCACGCTCGACATGTTCCCCACCGGCGAGGGAAAATTTCCCTGCGTCAGTTGTCCCTACACCCTTGTCGTGGTTATGCGTGTTTGCTGGCTAACGACACCATTTTAGCATTTTTAATGTCGCTTTCTCTCGTAGATGGAATGTATTATGGTGAATTAAAGTAATTCGTTTTGTTAATATCGATGAGTGCCTGCGTATTTCTTAATAAAGTTGTTCTTAAACGAAGCAAATAGCCGGAAATAAAAAATCGTTCGTAACTTTTAAACGGTTGATTGTAAGTAAATTTTTTTAATACCAATCGATTCAGCGTGTCAAATTACATCTAGATATATCTATGTCTATTCGTTAATATTAAGTTTAAGACCTTTTTTTTAGCTGGATACCTTTTGCTTCAGTCTAACCAGGTTTTCTATTGTAGAATTTCGAACTTTTCAAGACGTTAAGCCACTTTCCTGTCAAAACAAAAAAAGAAAAATTCATTTCAATACGATTATAAATGAAATAAACAAACTTTAAAAGTAGTAATAAATATTCAGCGATCTTGGTGATTAAAAGTAATCAATTTTTAAAAAATCAGAAAATTAATTATCATCATAAAAATATATACTTTACTACAACTACATTCACACTTTTAATAAATTATTGCTTTAAAATAATATATGATTAACTACGATAGTTACCTCATCTCGCCGATGACGATGGATCACGTTTCCTGAACATTCGCCAATCTCCCATTCCTTTCCGAAAGGAGATCACCGTTATATTACAATACAACAAGGTTAAACAAATAATTTCTGTAAACCGCACACGTGTTTATATAAACATCCAAACGAGAACAGTGCTGCCAAAATATTTATAGTTACTAACAAAACTCATCTTAAAACCGCCAGAAATTAGCCAAACTTGTTATTTTCAAATATTTCATTAATATTTGATATTGTGAATTTTCTTTTTAAAATTAAAATAGATATTTTAATAAATACATAAATATAAATTAATTTGATATAAATAACAATCAGAATAAATAATTTAATAATTATGTGAAAGACCGGATCTGACGAATTTTGAGAGAAAATCCGTTTTTCGTCTTTCGAAAAATTTTTTCCATTTTATTACCGGAGAATGATCGCATCTCTCTCTCCGGAGTTGTTTCCTTTTCCAGGGAACTCATCGAATGTGTCACTGGGAACTAAGAGCAAAAATACCCGATTGGTGAAAAAAGATAACGTGATTTGGAGGTTTAAAAAGAGTGGCTCAAGAACAAGGGGTCGTCGAGAGTTCAAGAGAGCATCAGTCAAGTGGCCTATAAACCCAAGAGATATAGTATCCAGGATTTCATACTCTCTGTTGTTTGACACTTTCGAATTCCCCGAATTATTATATACTGTACTTCAATTTCCCCTGGTTCACTAGAAGCCTTTCTTTCATTTCTTAATCAGTGTTATCGCTAACAAAATCTTCCTCACTATCATCAGAATCAATATAATCTGTTGTATCATCAAAGTTCTCCACTAAATTTCTTACATACTGATACTTTTGGTGTTTTCCAAAAGAAGCCATACTTCATCAATATATAAATTAATTAACTAAATATTTTATTTTTGCCAACAAGATGGCGACACCAAATCTTGCCATGAAACTAAGCAACTCGTCGGTGGATTTTTTTTTTCTTTCTACTCATTTTGTTCGAAGAGGACCTTAGCAAGCCTATTATGGGTTCGGCCAAGTTTACAATAATATGGCCGGCTAGTGAAGGACGGAGTCCGTGTTTAATTAATATATCTGTACTCATCATCACCGAAAAATTCCTGGGTTTTTCTACTCGATTGAGCTTCCGATCCTGGATCGCATAGAGCGGTGGGATGCTGTCTTAACCACTCGGCCATCTAGCCTAACAGACAGCACTATTACATGGTCTATTATAAATCTTTTGCATTGTACAATAATTTGTATCCTAAATTAGTCGTCTTAACATGTGTATTTCATAAAACACGTAACTGTATTATTAAGTGCTTCACTTTGACGCTATTATTTGCGTCAAATAATAGCGTCAAAGCGAAAATAGAAAGATATTACAAATGTTGAATTTGTTATAAATTTTACTTAAAAATACCAAAAGTTACAATAAAAGTAAATGCTTATGTAGTATTTATCGTATACAAGTAGAACAATTTATCTTGAATACAAGAAAATACGGTAACCATAAAGCTTATTTAATGAAAATTTAGTATGAATACAAATTTAGAAAAACAATAGAATGATAAAAGAAACACTGTCAGCAATGACAATTAATAAAATATCATTAAAACAAAACATATTTAAATTTATTAAAATTGTTTAAAATTCATGAAATTTTATGAAGTCATGTGAATTATAGCTGACGAATTCAGTTTTAATTCACATAGAGTTGTTTTTATTCGTCATTTTTACTTTCAGTATTTTCTTCTCTTAATTCGGAAGATTCTTCACTGCAAAAGTAAGGAATCAATGCAATAGCTGTATTAATATTTTCGTAGGTATCCTTATTGTATCGCGTTGAAGCTGTCGATATTCGAGAACCTCTATAACTATATTTTGAACTTTTTCTGCGAGGTATTTTTGAACTCTTTCCAGCAGACAAATATTCCGTTCTTTGAGATGTTTTATCATCTTTAATTTCCCGTGCCTGTTTATGTATTGATACCTGTAAATCTTCATCCAATTTTCTTTTCATTTTCTTCCTAAGCTTTTCTTTGACGTATATTTCAGTTGTTTCAGATTCTACAGAGCTTCTATCAACTCTTAAATTATCACTTACACCACTATCAACTTGACTTTTATCTTTATATATATTTTTTTCTACACTAGATACACTTATTTTATTTTTTATGTCATCGTTTTCATCCGTTTCATCTTCACCACATCTCTCTCTTTCCTCTTTGAAATATCTCAGCTTATCCTTCTCGTCCTCGTCATATTTCTCTCTTTTCTCTTCATCATATTTAACATTATCCATATCATCAATAGCTTTGCTATATTTGTCAATTTTCTGTCTAATTTTTTTCTTTCCTCGCTCTTTCTTTCTTTCATAGCTTTCAACATCGTCAGTCGTCTTTCGTTTCCTTTTACCTCTTTTAATTCTTTCACGTTTCCCATCACTTTTCTTTTGAGTATCTTCATCACTTTGATGTTCATCAATCGTTACAATATTTTCTGGTGAATCGTAGCCACTCGTAGACTGCTTTTCTATCGAATATATAGCTTTTCGTGAAGTGTTCTCATCTTCAATTTCTGTCTCGAAATATAATTTCTCTTCTTCTGTTTCTACATATAAGAAAGGCAATAATGCCAAAGTCGTATTTATTTTTTCTGCTTTGATCACAGACTGTCTGCTTAATTGCTTCTTTAAAGAGATTCTTGAAGAACGCTTTCGTTTAGGTTTATTCATTTCGCGTTAAATTTTAAGTCCTTCTATATAAACACACTATTCTAATTATTTGTGTATCGAAATATCAATAGCGTTGTTTGCCTTTAGACCTATTAATTTAAAAAATTATTATATAACTAACACCTTCAAGAAATTCATACATAAATAAGTTAAATTTAAATCAACACTAATCAAATACCAGGCGTTGCCCATAGAATAAAATAAAGATTCCGTATTGGATAAAATTTTATAAATAAATAAATAACAATAAAAATTATCTAAAAGGCAGTATTTTCAAAAGATGAAAAATTTACAGACTGTACACAACAAGTGTAATAAGTTATAATAATGTATGCTTAATATTGTAGATAATTTAATAATTTTTACTTCACTTACAAAGAACGCTATGGAAAAATTATATGATGATAGTAAAGTAAGAGTTTACTTAATTAGTATAGTGAATAAAAAAAATAAAGTTATTTTATATACTCTTATAGAACATAAGACATCAAGATCTACCCTATTCTATGAAAGCTAGGAAGGCAAGCAGAGATTTCTCTTTCCTTACTTCTAAAAATAAAGGAGTGTGCCTTAAATTATCAAACAATGCTATGAATCCTAAAGCTAGGTTTTAAAGAACTCAAAAAGATCTCAATAAACAATAAACAGAAGTGACTTCTTGAAAAAGTGATTATTTTTTGGTATTTAACCAACTCACTTTTAAATAATGTAATAACTATGTAATGAACTATCAGTACGCCTTCAGTTACTGAGAAATGTTTATTAAACAAAACACAAATGTTTTCAAACATTTCTCAGCAACAACATGTATTGATAAGTCATTAAGTATTTTAAAATGCTGAGTTTGATATTTGGTTAGTAATAACTATATCTTTAAACACATTAATATAACATATGGCCTACATACTATCACATTTGTACAGAAATAAAAAACTATTTTTGAATTAATTGTACTATTTAATTACATGCTTAACTGTCTATTATTTTAGATATCCTTTAATTATAAAATAAGGTTAAAAGTCCAAACTTTTTGAATTACATTATGTTAGAATGAATTCATTTCATTTTCACATCTTTAACTGAGGAAACCTTAGTCATGTTTTTACATGTCAACCAATTTTCATTTAACCAAGATAGTTTGTTATTTTTTTTCTTTTCCTCTCTTCTTACAGTTTTCTTACCATAAAAGTAATAATTGAATAATTGAGTCATTTAGCATCTTAAGCAAACAAATTAATAGATTGTTGAGCGTGTCATTTGCAAATGGATAAACAAAGTGTTCTAAACAATACAAACTGGAAATTATGATGCTGGCCAAAAGTTTTTAGAATATATGTGTCTGAAGAACAATTTACTTTTTGAGGCAACATATTAATTTATTACTGTAAGTAAGTTGGCAAAATTCCAAAGTGAGGTATGTTCAAATGTAAGTTTATTGCATTTGTTTAAAAAAATCAAATGTGAAAAGTTTTTAGGATACTTGGAACTTTTCATTTATTCTGTTATATTTAATGTTACTTTCTTTGTTTTTGTTATAAAATAAAAATATTTGCTTTGAATTAAGTACTTTTTGTTTTAAAATGACTTTGTCAGAAGAAATAAAGCAAAAGATTCTCTCAGTTATCTGCTACAGGACTCATCATAAGATAAAACATGTCAAAAAGTAGCTGTGTACTTTTTCAATATATTATTAAAAAGTTGGAAGAAAGGCAAGTATATTGGGTGCCCAAAAGCAATGCAGAAGCATTGTGGCTGTAACAAAGTAGCAAGGGACCAAATTGTGAACAGTTAAAGTATCAAAAAAAAAAAAAAACTCAAATTAGATGCTTCCCAACATTATATTTGTCAATTTATGGCTGACAACAACTTTACTTATGAAAAAGTGAAGACCTGCCATTGACAGATAACAATAAATACCAATATCTTGAATTTGCAAGAAACATATCAGAGAACATAACAATTTTAATTGAATTTTAGATTTTCACTGGATGATGAAATTTTCTTTAAAAAAAAATAAAAAAGATGTAGTCATTTACTAAGAAACATTTAACAGAAATATGATGATCACCCAAATTTTTGGAAACGACTATGTCTTTTTTATTGTTTATTTTTTTTTAAAGAAAATTTTAATTTAATTATATTTAGTGATAAAAAAATGTTTTTGTTTGGTTGTCCAGATAATACCAAGTCTTATTTTGAGTAAACTGCAGGAATTATAGTAGAACCTCATTGTAAAACATGTCAGCAAGGTGGTGATTATGTAATGATTCTGGGTGCCATAAATAGTAGGAAATAAAAATTGATAATCAAATTCATTGAAGGAAAGTATAATGCCATGAAATACCTGAATGATCTGAAAACAGCATTTCTATGTTTTTGTGAAAATTGTTTTACACAGGGAAGTGGTTTTGGCAGAAGATAATGCTGCAATCTGTACAGCTGACATAGTTAGACATTACTTTTAAGAGAATAAAGTCCTTATAATTAATTGGCCAGCTTATAGTCCTGACTTGAACATTATAGAAAATGTTTGACATTTAATGAAACAGAAAATATATGAACATGGACAGTTTAATATTGTGAGTTTTAAAAAAACATGCAATTCAACATTAGGCTGATAATTTCGATGCAATTGCGATTATTGTAAATGTTTATAAATCAATTCATCTACATTAAACTTACTACACCAAGTGAGCATTTGCTGAAACAATTTTTTATTAACAAATGTCTTTCTAGGTTGTTAAATATTATAGAGAAAAAAGGCAGAAAGCTTACTAATTGTTAATTTAGTATGAATAATTTTCTTTACCATTAGGGAAGAAAAACTATTCTAAAAATTTTTGTCCACATGATTTTTTAGAAAACTCAAATAAATATCAAATTATAACACATCTCACTTTAAAATTCTGTTGACTTACTTATAATAATAAATTTGTGAGACTAATCGGGGGTAGGATGTTTACGAGGATGTCCCTCTCCTACCACTTACTCGACTCAAGACCTCGAGGTCCGGTCTCGCTTGTCTAAAGGATGGGAAAAACGGGTTAGGAGAAAGGATCGTTAGATTCTTTCTCCTGTCTGACACCAATCTATCTATTTATCGCGGATAGATACGCGGTTAATTCGATGGGGAATTATCACGAGCGATCTCGTCGAAAGCTTCGGTTTGAGTATGGAGTGGAAATTGTCGGAAGAAACGCACACCAATCCAAGTTCATTAATAAAATACCCGTTTATTCCGGTTATTCCGTACATTTAGTCCATTACACTTAGTTAATTATTTAAGGAGTCGAAGGTACAGATCCCTGGCCTCGGGAATTTCAATCCGTATAGTTCATTTGTCGCGACCCTAACCGCGAGGTTGGAATATTCGAGAGAGAGCTTACATATCATCGCGAGTAGCATAAATACCTCGAGTTGTAGAGGTTGAAGGGTTCAGGACGATCTCGGAGTCCGAATCCTGGGCTCGTAACTATAGTTCAAGTCGTAATCAAAGTCTTTAGAAGACGGTGGCGACGAGAGGCAGGCGATTCACGGGCACACTCACAGTTCAGGAAAAACTTGCTCCCCCTCGGTGGGTTCACAGTTTCTTTTATATGGGGGGATATCTTCTCGAGATCTCTCCCTGTACGTCATAGGTGATGATCTTCTTTGACCAATGGTGGGTGAAGTGACTAAATATGACACAACAGTTAACTCATCTTCTACAGGGAAGTATTGTGGTGGGAAAGGAGTTTTTATGAGCGATTTTTATGAGAAAATTTGTCGGTTGTTTTTTCCTTTTTGAGTTAACCCTAACTTTAAAAAAA